AGAAGTCCCGGCAGAGATCTCCCACCGGTGGCGAAGCCTCCTTTTCTTCCCCCTCTCCCCCCCAAATCCGGCAGCCCGCGGGGCTGAGGCGCTGGGGAGCATGAGGCGGCGGCGGGGACCTGTTGTGTAGGGGGGAGGCGGGGGTTAAGCGGCGGCGGCGGGCGTGAGGCGGGGGAGCGGTTCGGCGGGGAGGGGAGGAAAGGGAGGGAGGGAGAAGAGGAAAGGAGGATGAGGACCTGCTCCCGGGGCGCTGGTGTCTGTCGGCGACCGGCCCTGCCCCGGGCTGGCTCGGGGGAGTCCCCTGCGGCGGAGCCGTGAGGGGGGAGCAGGGCCCCGGCGGCCCCCGGTCGGTCCTTTCACCCCCCCACTCCGCTCCCGGCGGCGGCCGCTTCCCGCTGGACCCCGGCTCCAGGAAGAGGAGAGAGCTCGGTGAAGTGTTTCTCGGAAGCTGGAGTTGCAGCCTGGTTTCCTCCTCCTTGCTTTTTTTTTTTTTAATATTTTTTTTTTCTCTTCTCCTCCCTGTCATGATTTCATTACGCGCGTCTCTCGGGGGAACGTTTTTAGGGATGGTCGTTGTATTTTTATTTTTTTTTTTTTCAGCAGGGAAATCCGCGGCGCGAAGGAGGATTATAACATAAATAATCTCTATCAATGATAGAACTCGGTGGCTAAACCTTGCCTTGACCAACCTTCTGACCCTCTGAGACATCTCTCAGGGGGTGTGTGGGAAGGAGGAAAAAAAAAAAAAACCACAACCAACCCTCCCATTTGAAAATAAACTTGAAAAAAGACTAATTTTTTTATTATTATTATTGGACAGCCGAACTGCTTTATAATTACTTTGGTTGTTTTGGGTTTTTTTTTTTTGGTTTTTTTTGGGTCTTGTTTTGCGATAAGTTGTTTGAAAAAGGATTGTCCTACATGGTTGTTTTGTAACTGGTGGAGGAAGGAAGGAAGGAAGGAGCCCCTCGCCAGCGTTTCTGATGTGACAGCTTTGGTTTCGGAAGAGTTAACTGGTGTTTGCATGATACACCTATTGCTAGTCTGGTAGCAGACTTTTTCTTCTTTTTTTTTCTTTTTATTAACCGGGGCTGGCGGAGAGGGTTATCTCGGTCAGAAGAATATTTGCACATACTTACATTGTATATATTTTTGGTGGGGTTCTCCCCACATTTTACTCTCTCTTGATGACTCCTGGAGGTGGTAGTGGGCCCATGAAAGACTGTGAGTACAGTCAGATCAGCACGCACAGCTCTTCGTCTCCCATGGAGTCTCCCCATAAGAAAAAGAAATCGGCTCCCAAGAGAAAATGGGAGGTTTTTCCTGGAAGAAACAAATTCTTCTGCAACGGGAGGATCATGATGGCTCGGCAGACTGGAGTCTTCTACCTGACGCTTGTTCTCATCTTGGTCACCAGTGGACTCTTCTTTGCATTTGAGTAAGTGCCATTAAAATCTTCATATCTTCTTTCTCTTCCTCTAGTTAGTTATTTTCTGGCTGAAAGCAAAGTAAACATGTTTATCCAGATGTCATAGAGAACGCTGACTGAATTGAGCTCATGTTGGTTTATATAATTGAAAATACGGTCTGATAAGATGCTGAGGGATGTGTTGGTCCTGTTGTGGTTATCGTACTCTGTGGAAAGCTGATGCTTGAGGATTTAGGACGTAGAGCTTTCATACCACAGGTTTCCAGCTCTTGCTGATGTTGCAAGAGGAGTGGAAAAGAGCAGGTTTGGGATTGTCAGGAAATGATGTAGCTTCTTGTCTGTCGATTACTCGGCTGAGAATCAAAACTGGCAGGTGCAAAAATACTGACCCTTTGTCGCAGAACTGAATGCAAGAGAAGCAATATCTTTCATCAGTTTATGAATTAGGCCTTTTTTTTTTTTTTGGTCACCTGAAGTCATTAAATAGCTTGTAGATGAGAAAATTCCAAGTCAGTAAAACAAGCAAGAAAAAGACCTGTACAATTTTGTGTGTACCTAGCTTTCCACCACTAGGTAACAGCATTACTTTCTGTTTGTGATGAGAACTTGTATGTGAGTTTGGTCTTAGTTTAAGCTCTGTTTGTTCTGGAGTTTTAGATAATCGTTTCTAAAGCAGGGGTCTGGTATCCTCCTGGGGCTTTTTTCTGTGTTGCTCTGGATCTTCAGGAGTCCTTTTCATCTATACAAAGTGAACATGCAGTGTGACAGCAAATCAAATGTACTGATTTTTGCACTTATGTCGGAGTGGTTAAATTAACTATGTGTGACAATAAAAGATTAGGCATTTGCTATGAATGATACAGTTGAACTTTATTTATTTATTTAAAAGCATTGAGTACAAAGGTGCTCATGCTACCGAAACAACTTGCTATAGTAATAACTGAATTCTTTTTAGACAGTTAATGCTACTTTACCCATTTTAAGCTATTGCAGCTTGACTTGTGGTTTGTGGCAGGAAAAATTCTTCAAAATATGTATACAGCTCATACTATTTTCTTGAATAGAAACTGTTATTCATAAGTAAGCTTCAGCGCTGCCACCAGAAATTCTGTTTGATTTGCTCAGAGATACAGTTGAAAAACAAACGTCATTCGTTAGTTGGAGTCAAAAATAGCGACATTAGTGAACCCTAAATTTTACCAGTTGAACGTAGACCATCTTAACATACCGATAGCAGGAAAGAAGGTAAAAATGCTTAGCAGGTAATGGTGGCTAAATATATATATGAGCTCAGCAGATGAATTGTCTTTAGTGGACTCCAGATTACTTTAGAGGGATTTATTAATTGTAAATCTTCTGCAGGCATTGTGAAGCTGCTTGAACATCCTTTGAGTCGTTGAAATAGCGCAGTCAACGACAGTATCCACCTACTGCAAGTGTGTTTGCTTTCCTGCTGTTAAAGAGGTATTAAAGGTGTAACCTGACAGTGTTGCGTCAGGACTGGGTGCTGCTCTCTTCTTGTTTGCCAGGATGAGGACGAGTTTTGGGAAGCTTTTCTGTGTGGGCTGACACTGGGGTCCGAGCATCACCTTCAGCGGAGCCTCTGAAGGCGAGCGCTGGACTTCCCGCCAACACCAGAACCTAAATGTAGGATCAAAACTCTGATGTTTTATAATCGTGGTTTTAAAACTTATTAAGCCAGCATTTACAGTTTGTTTATGCGTTTTAGCGCTTTGATCCCTCGGAGATAAATACTCTCTGCAGCTGCATGATTCAGAAGTGCTGAAGCAGGGTGAGCTGCTCGCTCTTCATCACCTCCTGATTTCATTACTGCTATGAGTTACGTGCTCTGCCAGAGTTCAACACTACAACTTATGTCGTGTCTTTGAGATTATTTGCAGTGTAACCATATGCGATGGACTACATTTTTAGTCAAGCTACAGCATTTTGATATATAATTTGTGCTTATTCTAACTGGAAGTCTTGAAGGAGGGAAAAAAAATATCTTTGGCTTTATGTAACTGTATAAATTCTGTGTGTCTGTACTGGTTTTGAGTCATTCTTGTGTCACTTCCACTCTCCTTTTAAGGAAAATCAAAGTAGAGGGTGACAATGATATTTCATTTTTATAATAATAAGGTAGATTTTGGCATTTAAAAAGCTCTTGCACTGGAAAATTATTACTCATTCTCTGAAGGCTAATTAAGAAACAAACCTTAAGACTATGAGAATGGTGTTCAGCATGTTTTGATGTTTGAACTGCAGAAGGTTGTTAATGTTGGGAAGAAAAGAGAGACTCTCTTTGATTAAACAGTGCTACTTTGAAACAGTTTCTAATTGCGTCTCTTCACAGTAGTCTGAAGGTACTATTTATTGACCAGTGGATGACATCTTGAGTTGTTAAGAGTGTCACTGCCATTATTTGGCTGATTTGGTTATGATGCTGCTCATTAACCAACCAGTTAGAGAATATGAGAGAAATGTGTTTCAGTCTTTTGTATATACATGGGGCAAAGTGATTTTTAAATGGGCATGTGCCTTGTGTGTCTGAACTGTAAGGTCAAGCTGTCGTTGCAGAGGAAGACACCCTGTACATTCTCGGAATTGTTTGCTCTTTTTGCTACCATTGAAATCAATTATTTTGTTCACTTTGATTTTGGAAACTGGAAAATAAGTACTCATGTTCCA